CCAGTGTGCACCCCACTGTCAGAGCCCACGGCATGACATGAGACGAACTTCCAACTGGCCAGTGTGCACCCCACTGTCAGAGCCCACGGCATGACATGAGACGAACTTCCAACTGGCCAGTGTGCACTCCACTGTCAGAGCCCACGGCACGACATGAGACGAACTTCCAACAGCTTCTCTGCTTTCCAAGCAGCGCCCGGCTCCAGGTTCCAAAAGGCCGGAGGGAAGGAAGGGGATGTGGGCACAGCTGAGATCAGTGAGACTGAGATCAGTACTAAAACTCCCCACAGACATGCTTCTCCGTTTGCCTGGGTGTTTTTATATGTTTGCTTCTTGGGTTTTTCAGTTTTTATCAATGAAGTGAGCTGCTAGGGTGGGCGGGGAGTGGGGCGGCACAGGAGGGTGGGGAGGAGGAGGGCCCGAGGCTGTGAGCACCTGTCATCTGGTGACGTGGAGACGTGGACGGCTGGTTCTGGTTGTGTTTTAAATGAAATCTCAGCCTGGTGTAGACACTTCATCTGGAGTTACGCTCTGCCTGTGAGCTGTCACTCGTTATATATTCACAAGGGAGTAGAGCGGTTTCCATAGAGAGGAAACATCACAGCCCGCCGAGGAGCAGGATCAGGGAAGGAGCCTGACCCTGAGCAGCCAGAGCTCAGGGCATGTGCCTGGGGCAGACCTCCGGGCCCTAAAGCTGCACCTGCCTCCCTGAGCATTTCTGCTGAGGAGCCAAGTCCTCTCCCAGGTAAGTCTCAGCTCTGGGCTGGCCGACGGAGGGCACAGGTATTTGCCCTCAACTAGCCAGGAGGTGCTAAGTACTAGAGAGGGGTAAGAGGTGAGCTCTGCCAGCACCCTGGGGTGAGGACACCACTGAGAGTGTGTTTTCCATCAGGAGAAAGAAGCCCCAGGAGACGAGGGGAGTGTCTCAGAAGGGAGAGTTATCTTCCCCAGGTTGGCATAGAGAGACCTGCCTTACAAAGGCAGCAGATCGGGGCAGAGGGTGCTGGTGCAAATCTGTGTTCTCTGAGCAAGAGTTCGGCTCTGAATAGGACACTTCATCCTTGGTGACTGTGGGTCATTATCCCAGCACCTGCACAGCAGCAAGGACACTCAAGGACCTCAGTCACGGGTGCCAAGCTCCTTCACCTGTGTCATCTCCCTCCCTCTGTTGACACATCTGAGAGGCAGGGAAGGTCTCTGTTACAGGCTGCAGCAACTGACTCACAGAGGTTAGAGGACATTAGAGGCAAGTAAGACGCAAGGGAGCTTCCGGCCAGGGGCCCCTGCCTCAAAGCCCAGATCCTTGCTGCACCAGGACGGTGGGGCAGGGGCAGATGACTGCAGAGAGTAAGCCCTACCTGGGAAGGGGGAGGCTGCTTGCTGCCCACGTTCTCATGCTCAAGTCATCTGAGAAATTCTAAAATTCTATTTGCAATTTCCTCCCTAGTATAGCCACCTAGCCAAAAAAAAAAAAAAATCTTTCTTTTAACTTTTAAGAAATGTTTTTAAGTGATTTGTTTTTCAGTTCAACTTCTTGTCTGTGTTTGCAGACAAATGGGGCCACACAGGGACACAGGGAATAACTTCGCTGAGCCACCCTCTCCCCTCCCTGGTGGGTGCTCTGAATCCCAGGCTGGCCTGAGCTCTCATCGCCCCACCTTGAAGCACTGGGCTCTGCCACGCTTGGAGAAGTAACAGAGTCTCTTTAAGTCACCCTGTAAAAGGATATGAGAACCCAAAGAAGTGGCAGAGATTCAGCTATCCTGGAGAAATTAGGGGTGCAGAGCTTTGCCCCTTAAATCTAACTAGGTGGTGCTCAGTGACATGGTGAGCAGCTGGGAAATCTTACACTTCCATATTGTTTCATGGGGACAGAGAAAAAAATCTAAATAACGTTCGAGGAGAAGCTTCCTTAGGAATTAGGCTTTACTTGAGGGGGGCACCTTTGTGAAGAGTTTCTTTTCTTTTATCCTTCAAAGCCTAAACAAATCCTAAAAAGAAAAGTCTCAGAAAGAAATTGGTATACACTTCTCAGCCCCAAGCCAGTCACTTTGACAGTGAAAATATCTAGGACCACAAAGAACCCACATATTTTAGACAGACAGAACTAAGCCCAGCAGGGCCTGCCTATTGTGGGCAGCTCACAGCACCAGCACTGTCTACCGCTCGATAACTTGGCTTCAGCACTGAGGATAAGGACACATTACCCAAGGCCCCCGCCCCATCTGCCCCTGCCAGAGCCCGGGGTTTGCAACCAGGAAGGTCTGCTACCCCAGGTGTGCTAAGAATAGGATACCACGTTCCCGACACCTTGTACAGATCATCCAGATGCCTTTGGCACCCTCTCTGTGAGCAAGCCTTCTTCCCTGGTAGGAGATGTGGGATTTGATAATAAGAAGTAACTTTTTTTTTTTTTTTGAGACAGAAGTAACGTTTTTTTTTGAGTCTCAAGCTGCCACCCTGGGTAGAGCGCTGTGACATCATAGATCACAGCAAGCTCCAACTTCTGGGCTCACATGATCCTCTTGCCTCAGTTTTTTTTTCTTCTGTTTTTAGTAGAGATGGGGTCTCTCTTTTTGCTCATGCTGGTCTCAAATTCCTGAGCTCAAGCAATCCACCTGCCTTGGCCTCCCAGAGTGCTAGGATTACTGGCGTGAGCCACCACAGCGTAACGTATTTTTAAATACACAATATTTACAAGAGAAAAAGTAAATAAAGAGTTAAAAGGGCTTCTGCAACCCCTGAAGTATTGTGTTTGTACCTCAGATGAGACATGGAGATGGGGGTGGATCCAGAAAGGAGCTCATTGCGAGGGAAATTCTGAGTATTCCCCAGGAGAAATGTTGAAAGTTACTTAGGCAAAGATGTTTCACGTTCAGAAACCCTCGAGTTTGTCCAGATACATAATTTCAAAATAAAAAACAAAAATATGCCTTATAAAGGATGTTTTTCCTCTGTGATACATGATAATATGTGTTTGCAGAGAGAATAGACATCCCAACCATCCATAAAGGAGGTTGTTTCACCTTAGAAAATAAACTGGTTTAATTAAGTGCCTGAATACTAATCTGAATTTCAGTTTACTTGACAAGTATTTATTGAGGACATGGTTCCTTTTTTTTTTTATTGAGACAGAGTTTCACTTTGTTGCCCTGGGTAGAGTGCTGTGGCATCACAGCTCACAGCAACCTCAAACTCTTGGGTTCAAGCAAATCTCTTGCCTCAGCCTCCTGAGTTGCTGGGACTACAGGCCCCTGCCACAACCCTGGCTATTTTTGTTTGTTTAGCAGGCCCCGGGCTGGGCTCAAACCCATCAGCCCTGGAACATGTGGCCAGCAGCCTAACCACTGAGTGACGGGTGCCCATCTGAGGACATGGTTCTTTATAAGGCACTAATGACCATGCCAAGCCTTCCCAGATGTCCCAAGCGGCCCCACTGAGAGCCAAAATGACCCACAGGGAAAACCTTTGTGTAGCAGAAGTTTTGGTGTATTTAACAGAAATAGAGCTGCCAAAGAAACGCCACACTCAAAGGGGCCCCAAGTCTTCAAGGGGGGCTCAGAGGGGCAGGTGGGAGCAGCCCTGTGGGCAGAGGACGGGCAGACTCCATGTGATCTGAGATCTCGGCAACATTCGCAATCCCTGTGTGGAACTGTTGGTGGCTGAGGGCTGTGTGGGGACAGTGAGGGGACAGCAAGGGGAGGGATGAAGTGCTGCTCTCCTGGCTCTCAGGGCTGTGCCACTGAGCAAGGAAGAAGCAAGTGGGATGAGAGCCACACGGAAACCCCAGGTGGGAGCGTGGGGATGGCTCTGGGTCACACCCCCACACCTGCCAGCTTAGCCACACCCTCCCAGGCCTGGCAACAATGCTCAGGCAAAGACAGAGAAATCATTTCATTTCCCAGTCCTCTCCAAAGAGGGGCCTCTTGCTTTCAGAAGTAGAGAAGGAAAGAAAGCAAGACGAAGAGATTCTCAAACTTGAGCCCCCTGTCACAGAGGAAAGTACCCGGAGCAGGAGGGACAGACAGCAGGTCCGTGAAAAGAACGGGGAACAATGGAAAGGAGATACAGTCTCCTCACCGGCTTCCCACCAGGTTAACCCTGTCTGAACTGGGTTTTGTTTTTCTAAATCCTTCCAGAGTTAACAAGCCATTCAAAATTGCTCCAAAGCTTTAGGACGCCTTCAGGATACAAGGCAGCTAATCCCACAATTCCTGCACTATTTGTGCAGAAGCAGCTGACCAGATTCCCAGTGAATGATCAAGCTGGAGGTCTGGCTATTGAATGCAAGATTTAAAGAAAGAAAAGCCTGATTTCCGCAGAGACAGTTGATCAACCCCTGCAACCCTGGCCCACAACCCTCAGCACCCCCAGAAGCAGAGCTACGGTTCTTGTGTTCTGGCTCCTGGGACCCTGCGAGGTCCCAGCCCCACCCGGACCTACTAACTAGGGAACTGTCAGGATGGGGTCTGTCTTTGTGGGTGTGTGTATGAATGTACGCACGTGTGTGTGTCTGTGTGTGTGTCTGCGTGTGTGTACTTCTGACAAGGCTATGTGCACACCAACTAAACCAATGTGGGCCAGCCAGCCTTTATTAAGTGTGTGATTAGACCAGGCACTTACAGCAACATTTTTAATTAAATCCTTCAGTTTATGAGGTTGTTATCATTACCCCATTGATCAGCTGAGGATATTGAAATTCACAGAGGTTAAGTGACCTGACCAAGGTCCACAGGCAAATAAGGGTGAGGAATAAATTCCACCCGTGTCTGGCTCTGAAGTCTGAGCCGTTCCCTCCATGCGCTGCTACACCCGCAGACCCGGCTGGCGCCCACATTCCGACACTTTGCGGAGAGGCCCATGCACCGCCTTGTCACACACATCCGTCTTCTCTGCTGCAGGCGGAGATGCTGGTGCCCGTGCGGCTGCTGCTGCTGCTGCTGCTGCTGCTCGGGGGCCCCAGGACAGGCCTCCCCCACAGACCCCACAAAGCCGAGCCCGTCCTCGTCCTCAGCAGCCTCAACAGCGCCCTGTCTGAGGCCACGAAGAGTCACCTGGAGGGCACAGACCGGCTGGCCAAGAGGAGCTCCCACTACCTGCCCCTCCAGGACCCCCCCTCAGGCGAGGAGGAGGCAAACAAGGAGAAAAGGACTTTCTCTGTGTCTGGGGGCGGGGGCAGCGCCGGGAGCCCCCGGCACAAATCCCTGTCTCAGGCACAGCGGAGAGGGAGGCTACGCCCAGACAAGGCCAAGGGTGAGCAACGCACCAAGTTCACGCTGTCTCTCGACGTCCCTACCAACATCATGAACATCCTCTTCAACATTGCCAAGGCCAAGAACCTGCGGGCCAAGGCGGCTGCCAACGCCCACCTGATGGCACAGATTGGGCGAAAGAAGTAGAGGAGGAGGCCGGGTCACAGGGACAGGTGTCGGGGGGTCACGGGGACAGGTGTCGGGGAGGGTCACGGGGACAGGTGTCGGGGGGCGAGGTGCACCGTCAGCTGGCAAGCATTTGTGGGATCAGTTGATGTCACAGGCTGCCTCACCACTGAGCCCCTTGACCCCTCCCTGTCCCTACCCCAGCCCCAGCCCCCTTGTCCTCTGTCCACACACAGAGAAGAGCAGTATTGTCCACTTGCCCAGACCCCAGCCAGGAGCTGGTTTTACACCTTCCTCCTCCCTGGGCTCCCCCTGTGACCTCACCCCCAGGACAGCCCTGAACACCACCTCTCAGGCAGAGCCCAGAGACACACCATTCTCCACCTGGCCCCCCAGCCCCTTCCCTGCCCCCTCATCCTATTAAAACCAGCAGCTTCTTGAACTCCTGTCTTGTCTCTGCTTCTTGCCCCCATAAGCCACCTTCACACCCTAAGGCTGGAACAGAGAGGGCTAGAGAGGGAGGCCCTGGTGAGCTGAGCCCTGTCCCAGGAGCAGAATGGCCACAGGAGGACAGCTGGAGTGCCAGCATCTGTCACTTGCTCTAGACTGGTCCCTGGAGCCTGGTCCCACCTGAGGGAGATGACCTGGGAACTGGTTTTGGCATCCAGGCTGAAAGGGAGAGAGGGATTTAAATGACTGTCCTCACAACATCCCAGATTCCTGCACAGCTTGCTGGTGCGTGGGGCTGCCAGTCCTTGAGAGGGGTTGTGTTGAGCCCACAATAACCGCCTGGCTGTGCTGGTGTCCGTGGCCAGGCCTCTGAGCCCCCAGAATCCATACCCCAGTGAGCAGACAGAGCCAGAATTCAAAAAGCAGCAAGCACCGCAGGGAGGGCGTGTAGGGTGTAAATGGTGAGCTGTGAAGTAATAGCACTCAGCGGGAAAAACTACATGTCTGAGGAATTCAGAGAGAAGAATATTTACAGGAGCAAAATCCCACTAAAACCAGACATCGACAGAAACGCCAGAGCCCCTGGTAGCAAAGCCCGAGGGCCAGGTTCCCAGACTCGTAGAAGCAGGGAGTCCACACGGTGCCAGGATGTAACTGAACAGACTTGTGCCCGGTGAGACACACACACTCAGACACTCGGAGACTGACTCCACCACCAACCCAGGCAACGTCGTCCAAAGACAAATGGATGACCCATTTGGAAAAATGGTTTCCACTCACATAAAAGGTAAATGGTTGTTTATCAAATACACTAAGAACTACACGAAACAGAGAAGAACAAATCCAAGAGAGAAATTAGCAAAAACCTGAGCAGCTCACACAACCACACACACACACACACACACACACACACACACACACGAGCCATAAATGCCCTGTGAATATATGAAAGGATGCCCGGGGCCATTTATAATAAAGGCGCTGATGTGTGATTTCTTACCTGTCACGCTGGCTGCAGCCCCTCAGTGTGACGCCACCTTCCATAGGTGAGGTTAGTAGTCACCCTCCTCCACTGGTGGCTGGTGGGAGTTTAAACCCAGAGAGGTAATTTGCCAACACTTATCAAATTAGAGATTCACTCTTCCTTTAGCCCAGCAAAATCTTGCTTCTGGCAGGCATGACTGAAGAAATTTTAAAATACATATTTTTTAAGTTAAAAAAATGAAATTAAAAGTATGCCATCTCTTAACAGGACTAAGCCTCCCAAAGAAGTGAAAATGAAATGTTGTTTCCATTCTGGAGAAGCCACAAGCTTGGGCAGGAAGGATCCCAGGTCCCGTCTGAGTCGCGGCTTCCACACGCTGTCAATAAGCAAATCTTTTAACTCCCCCGTGTGCCCACGCACCAGGAGCCCCAAAGCTGCTTTCTGAACGTTACCGTGTTTAATTCTCACAAGTACATTTTAAGGCAGCTATTATGTTTTCCATTTTGAAGGGGTGGGCAGATTGAGACCCAGAGAAGTTAGGGAACACATCTCCCAGACTTGCAGTGACAGAGTCAGCTCTCTCTGACCACAAACCTCTCCCTTTCGCCCACGAAGTGCTGATTCTTGTCCAAGTGAACACCAGCAGCCCTGCCTTGCGGGCCTCCCCGAGGTTCCACTGAAGTGCAAACGAACACTCCACAAAGACCCTGGGGCTGGGCTTGGCATGTGCCCAGCAGGTGGGTCCACTGTGTGCAATGATTGAAGAGTCTCCCGTGAGCAGGTGGTTAACACACCAGGCAGAGGTGGCCAGTCAACTCCAAACAACATTGACTATTGACCCACCCAGGACAGCAGGAAAAGCTCCCCCTCCTGTGGGACAGCTCACAGCCCACAAGTCCAGCGTCCAGCAGAGTCTGACTTCCCATGGAATCAGACCCTGAGATTGACACCCCTTTTATGTGCCAGGCCTGATTTCACTTTGTAACGCTTAGGCAGGAAAAATACTGACGTTAACCTTTACTGTCTTAAAAAGAAGACACCCCGCCCCCGCCCCCACTCCTCCTCCTCAGTCAGGGGACAGAGAAACAGGGAAGGAACAGCCTCACCAGCTGCAAGAATCCAGCAACTCAACTTAATAAGAAGTTGCCGCAGCCAAAAACTATTTTGCAGGACACAGAAAATTGGAGCTTAGTACACAGGATATAACGCTGCGGTTGGGATGTTGATGAGTCCTCGGCGTGTAATAACTGGTCATTTTTCTGAGACACAATTTTGAATTGCTCTGCGAGGCCGACGTGCACGAACAAGCTACTTATGTGCTTCATCAATCACCCAGCGTCTCTGTCTCCAAGCAACTTCACTGCTCCCTACTAATGACCTCCTACATCTCATCTCATTTAAGGCCCGAAGAAGGTTGCTTAGGTCTCTCAGTTACCCATTACTGCATTTAGCAGAGGAAATTACTGATGCATGCAGCAACTCACACAGGTCTCAGACATTCTCTCCGTGTCTTGGCTCTATGCGCTTTTGTTTTAGGAACTTATCAGAACCCCACCTGGTCCTCTGCCCTGCAACGGGAAGACATGCGGTCCCCAGAGTCACCGTAACAGGGAAAATGGGAAATTATAGCTAAATGTAACTTTATTTACAAAATAGTCATTACAAAATTTTTACAAACAGATGGCCAACATGTAGAGAATATTGTAAATATTTTGTAAAATTCTGTAATGACTATTTTCTAAATAAAGGTGCATTTAGGTACAATTTCCCATTTTCCCCGTGTATGGAAACTTAGGGGAGACCTTGCATGTGAACGTGTTAGAAACTATTTAGAAAGGAACAGCCAAAGAGGAAGAGCTAAGGGAGCTGAGGGCAATTAAACTATTATCTTCGAATGAACATATCTTTTAAAGATTTTTAAAAATTTAAAGGGATTAATGTATCTTATAAAGGTTAGCAGACTTCTTTAGAATAGTTTACGGGCTGTGACTGTTTACACTGAAGATCTTCCTCTGTAGCAGATTTAAATTTAAAAATAGCCAGGGCATGGTGACTCACACCTGTTATCCCAGCACTCTGGGACTCTGAGGTAGGTGTATCCCTTGAGATCAGGAGTTTGAGACCAGCCTGAGCAAGAGCCAGACCCTATCTCTATTAAAAATAAAAAAAACTAGGGGGAGGCAGGAGACTCGATTGAGCCCAGGAGTTGGAGGTTGCTGTGAGCAGTGAAGCCATAGCACTCTACCCAGGGGGACAACTTGAGGCTCTGTCTCAAAATAAATAAATAAATAAATAAATAAACAAACAAACTAGCCAGGTGTTGTGGCAGGCGCCTATAGTCCCAGCTATTCGGAAGGTTGAGGCAAGAGGATGGCTTGAGCCCAAGAGTTTAGTTTGCTATGAGCTATGACACCCCGGCACTCTACCAAGGAAGACAAGAAAGACTCTGTCTCAAAAAATAATAAAATAAATTTTAAAATCATAGTCATAATAATTTTCTTGCTGTAAATAGAGATACAGAGATAAATGACACCAAAGAAGGGTCATTTTTCCTTGTCAAGAATCAGTAAGATTCTTAGCCAGGCATTCTGGTGGACACTGTAGCCCAGCTACTCGGGAGGCTGAGGCAAGAGAATCGCTCAAGCCCAAGAGTTTGGGGTTACTGTGAGCTGTGACACCACAGTACTCCATCCAGGGTGACTTAGTGAGACTCTGTCTCAAGATTCTTGGTGTTAACAAAAACATGAAAGCATTAATTCATTACAGTCAGGAGAGGAATTTACACTATGGAAGAGGGAAAGGAATGTAATTTTTTATTTTTATTTATTTATTTTTTTTTTTGGAGATGGAGCCTCAAGCTATCCCCCTGGGTAGAGTGCCATGGCATCACGCTCACAGCAACCTCCAACTCCTGGGCTCAAGCGAGTCTCCTGCCTCAGCCTCCCAAGTAGCTGGGACCACAGGCGCCCGCCACAACACCTGGCCATTTTTTGGTTGCAGCCATCATTGTTGTTTGGCTGGCCCGGGCTGGGGATTCGAACCCACCACCTTACGTGTACATGGGTGGTGCCTTAGCTGCTTGAGCCACATGTGCTGAGCCCAGGAATGTAATTTTTTAAAATGGAATGAAAACAAAGTGAGGACCGAAAATTAAGTTCGGGAACTTGCCACCATGCACCTACGTTGGCAGCACCGTGCAAACAACTCGGTGAGGTATTGTAACATTGGTATATCAGTGTCTCACGGCTGTGTTGTGTCTTGCTGAGTTGTGCTCATTTTTGTTGTTAAAGAGTGTTTGGGCTAACAGGATCACATACAGCCTTGTAATTCCAACTTTAAAATGCACAGCTTTTGTAAATAAATTTATGCTGTGTTCTTAAGTAAAAACCTTGCCAGTTTATAGACAGCTTTGAAACACTTGCAAGTAACCACCATATTGGTAGTTGAATTTAGTAGACCTTTTAAAAATTAATTAGGGTCCTGGGAAAGTTAGACAAAGTCCTTAAAATAAAATAGAGTGTATTAAATGCAATCGAACATATTTAAGAGCATATATCTAAGACTCCAAAGGAAGTTTTTTTCCCTTGAAACAAGAGTCTCACCACGTCACCCTGGGTGGGGTCACAACTCACAGCAACCTCAAATTCTTGGGCTTAAGCAATTCTCTTGCCTCAGCCTCCCAAGCAGCTGGGACTATAGGAGCCCTACAAAACACCCAGCTATTTTTTTATTATTGTAGTTGTCATTTTTTTTTTAAGCAGGCCCCAGCTGGGTTCGAACCCAGCAGCCCCAGTGCATGTGGCTGGCACCCTAACCACTGAGCACAGGCACCCTGCCAAAGCCCAAACTTCACTGTTCAGGCTCTTTACAAGTGATGACACAAATTGCTAGGCTGTCACGAACTGAACTTAAAAACTTAAAAATTTGGTTTTTCATCTTAACTTTAGTATATATTAGCTTTAAAAATCAACCTGTATAAATGGTCTTTTTCTGAATACATGAACGCACACACATACCAACCAACACCTTGTTAAAAATTCCTGTTAACAAGCAACTGAGCAGTGTTAGTAAAGCATCTCACTAGTGACCTCCAGTGGCTAGAGAGAAACAGCATGTGTACACGGAAGAAAAATTTTAAACGTAATAGTAAAAACCTAATAAAAGTGTGACACGTTCTGTAGGATATACAAATAAATATTTTTTGAGACAGTCTCACTATGTCACCCTCAGTAGAGGGCTGTAGCATCACAGCTCACAGCAACCTCAAACTCTTGGACTCGAGCAATTCTCTTGCCTCAGCCTCCCAGGTAGCTGGGACTACAGATGCCCGCCACAACGCCCAGCTATTTTTTTGTTGCAGTTGTCATTGTTGTTTAGCAGGCCACTTGGAAAGGACTGACCCTCCATTTTATAATAAAACAGACTTTGTTCTTTAGAGCTGTTCAAACCTACCAGCCTTGGCAGATGTGGCCAGCGCCCTAACCACTGAGCTAGGGGGGCCAAGCCCAGATAAATTTTTCAAAGAGCATCCACTACATTTTCAACACAGCGAGAGACTTCATGGTGTGTCTCAACTATCCACAAACCCTGGGTTCTGGGCGAGTGGACTCTGAGGGCATTCTGGGGGCTCAAACAGGACACAACAGCAAATCCCAGGAGCTTCACGCAGCAGGTGACACCTTGAACTGGGCTATCAAGTAGAAAAGTTTGAAAATAAAAGCCAAGAAGACTGTCTCCCAGCAGATCCATATTCAAAGAATAACAAAGGGAGGTCTCTCGTCAGAGGAAAAATAATCCAGACAGAAGCAAGCGTGGGGATGTAACAAGGAACGGGGTCCACCAAGAATTTAGCCATGAGGACAAATCTAAGCAAACGTCCACTATTTAAAAGTGAAAGAACGTTTCAAGCTAACGGAGAAGAAATAAGTAAGAAAAATACCTGGTGAACCCCATCCTTGTGTAAGGCGCGTAGAGGCAAGCAGTAGCTCAGGTGGATCCATTCTGAGATCCACAGCGTCTTGGAACTAGAAATGCCTTAGAAATAATCACAATGAAGAGTTTTAGGGTGTGGAAACGTACATAATTCAAGGTCGCTATACTGTAACAGGCCATGATGTGGACCCACCTTCCTTTACATCTGGTTAAATGTTCTTTCCATGTAGTGCACTGCCCTTTACAGTAAGAAACTTGATTGAAAGACGGAAAGAAAAGAATTTGAGTCTCAGTGTTCACTCCTTAGAAATGTCCACAGTATTCGGGTCACCAAGTCGCTTATTGACTTCTAAGATGAACATGCAGACACAGGTTAAAGTAGATCTCCCGGTAATGGAGACATCAGCATGGTCTCCTTCAGCTGAAGGTGGTTTTCTTCACACATACACAAAGAGCCAGACAGACTCTATTGGTCTATGTCAGAGATCCTGAAGACACAGTAAGGTCCCCCCAAATCAATGACAAGTCAGAGGTGAGAATGAGGGTCACAAACCTTCCCTCGCCTCACAGGACCCCCCCAGCACATCTCAGGGTGCACAGCCCCAGGCTGCAACAGGAGCTCTGGTCTGAGGCTGTCTGAGCATCGGCTCAAGGGGAGCCCTGGGCAGAGGGGTGAGGAGTGGAGTCTACCGGGGACCCAGCCAGATGCTTAGACTCTGCTTGAGACTGATAAAACCTCGTGCTGGAAAACCCTGCCTTTACAGGCATCTTTCAGAGTAACCAAATATTATTTCCACCCAGAAGTGGTCCCTGGCTTCCACGGTGACAAAGGTTTCAGTGAAAAGCAGGCCAGGAGGCTCCCTGAGTGATGCTCTTCACGGCCACATCTCAGGGCGGCGACTTTAGCATGTCAAAGACTCTCCCAGGAACTTTTAAAAATGGAGGGGCATACTCTCTCAATTTTGCTGTGAGCCTGTAACAGCTCTAAGGAACAAAGCCCATTTTATTATAAATGGACGGTCAGTCCTTTCCAAGTGGCACGAACAGGAAGAAGGTGGTAGCTTGGCAATTTGATCTGCTGCCGGGCCCACCTTGAGAACAGCTCCTCCAGGATGGGGGGGGCAGAGAGATGGCTCTTACCTCTGACCTCAGGAGACCCCCATGCAAAATTTAAAGCATATTCTCGTAGTTTGACGAGTCTACAACAGACATACAACTTCGCACTCCAGACGAGGCTAGAGGACTAACTGCCTTCCTGCGTCTCCCTGGGCCAAAAGCACATCCCCTGTGGAGTCCATGAGAGAGCACAGCTGGGGGGTGGAGGGAACAGACAGCCAACAGTGTGGGGTACTGGGCTCCTGCCATCAGTCCAACAGCAACACCTAAGCTCGGGCACAGACCTTTGAGTATCTAGTTCACGTAATTCAAGTATTAGTGCATCTGCACACTGTGGTTTTTAAAAACCTTGCTAGGGTGCTTTATGAATTTATAGCTATTTTGTCCCTAGTAGATTTTTGTTTCAAATGGGACTACTGGGTACCAGAAATTCATCCCACTGTAAATGTGAACTCCTCAGGACACCTCCCCACCACCCCTGGTGCCCAGCTTTCTCTTTTAGCAAGTCCAGAGTGAAGTGAAGCTCAAGAGCCCGTGTTTTTACTGAACCTCGGAAGTCTCTATGAGACAGGATTCTGCTGGCCCCACCTTGAGAACAGCTCCTCCAGGACAGGGGGGCGGAGACGGCCCTCACCTCTGCTCGCAGCTCACTCACATGCAAATTTTAAAGCATATTCTTACTGTTTGCATAAAAGGTAGACTGAGACTGCAAGGCACATATTAGGAGGAAGAAAAAGAATCGTACTGAAAATATTCCTTGATTTAATCAATTCGAAAAACACAGATGTGGGGCAGTGACAGTCAAAATCCACACGCTGTTCTCCACGCCAGGTACAGGGAGGGATCAGCACAGACTTTAGTATTGCATGGTCTCATAATTAAAAAAAAAAGCAAAGGATAAATCTAGGTTTCCATTCTGACAAAAAGACAAAGACAAAAATCCCGCCCAGAAACGACCCTGAGCCTCTGCAGGCTCCGGGAAGCAGAGGCGACTCTGGCTGGTGTCCGGGAATACACACCTCTTGTTAATACGACCCATTTAATTTAGTGGGGACTTGGGGTCTTGCCTCGTTTGGTGTTTGTTCTTCCAGGCAGGGGCACTCTGCCCACAGGCGCACCCTGGCTCAGAAAGGAAGCAGGCCGTTTGACCTACTCATTTCCGCAAGCCGTCCTTGCAGGAGAAGCTCTGCCCCACCTCCTGGTAGTCCCTCTCTAGGGCTGCCAGGTCCTCCCTGGCCTCCAAGAACTCACCCTCCTCCATGCCTTCCCTGAGGTACCAGTGCAGAAACGCCCTCTTGGCGTACATGAGATCAAACTTGTGGTCCAGGCGGGCCCAGGCCTCCATGATGGCCGTGCTATTGCTCAGCATGCAGACGGCCCGCTGGACACTAGCCAGGTCCCCTCCCGGCATCACCGCGGGTGGCTGACTGTTGATTCCCACCTTGAAACCAGTCGGGCACCAATCTACAAACCGGACAGAGTTCCTCGACTTCACGGCTGTGATGGCTGCGTTCACCTCCTTGGGGACCACGTCCCCTCTGTAGAGCAGGCAGCAGGCCATGTACCTGCCACGCCGAGGGTCACACTCCACCAGCTGGCTGGAGGGCTGGAAGCAGGCGGCGGTGATGTCCTCAACAGAGAAATGCTCGTGGAAGGCCTTGTTAGCAGGGACGACGGGAGCAAAGGCTGTCATAGGGAAATGTATTTTCGGATAGGGCACCAGGTTGGTCTGAAATTCGATCAGGTCCACGTTCAAGGGCCCTTGAAACCGGAGGGAAGCGGTGATGGAAGACACTGCCTGGACCATCAGTCGGTTAATGCTGGTGTAGGAGCGGCGCTCGGCGCCAAGCTCGCGGGGACACATGCCGTAGAGGGCCTGGTTGTCCACCATGAAGGCGCAGTCCAAATGCTCCAGGGTGGAGTGGGTGGTGAGCACGGCATTGTACGGCTCCACCACGGCCGTGCAGATGCTGGGGGCCGGGTAGACAGAGAACTCCAGTTTAGTCTTCCTGCCGTACTCTGCCGAGAGCCGCTCCATCAGGAGGGACGTGAATCCTGATCCCGTGCCACCTCCAAAGCTTCGAAAAATCAAAAATCCCTGGAGTCCGCTGCACAGCTCTGCCTAGGAGAAGTATCAATAAAAGGGACGTGAGAACTTGGCCAAATAAATCCAGCAGTGGGCTGGGCGGGGCAGACAGGAGAGAACAAATTCCCAAAACAGACCAAAAAATACTTTGGGAATAGAGTGGTTTACCATCGTCCCCTCCATGACAGACGTGGCTGCCGTGACATTTACCTGAGTGGTACTTCTGGTTTTATTATAAGCAAAGCATAAACAGTCAACTGTCTCTCACTGCCCTCGACGAGTCTATCTGCGTGTGATCAAGGTCTTTATCAACAAGAAGAAGAGGAAATATTGGAGCAAAACCACTTTCCTCCTACAGTGGATGACCACATGCCCTCCAGATGTGCTGGTGTGAAAGGCATCCTGTCACTTAACGATCATGCCAAACACCAAATCCCTTGCTCCGCAAAGGGTCTCCAGACTCAGGTCCTTAGAGAAAGAATCACCTGTCAACAACAGAGTCGCTAACCTGCAGGTAGGGTGGGGTGTGCCTGCTCTGACTTCCTAAATAGTGGCTCCCGTGGAAATGATGACTTTTAGAAGTGCTTTGGAAATCTGTGTGCACAGAGCAAGGGTCATCAGGGGCTCCCCCTCAGGGTCAAGGTTCAGGCTCCCTTCCGATGTTAACAAGGAGGACCCTTCCCAGCTCCGAGCACTCGTTGGATGCCCAGGGTGACAGGACTGGGGGCGATGGTGGTGGCAGACAGGCGACACTGTCAAGTCCTGCAGCAGGCCACATGCGTCCAGGCACAGCTTGGTCAGGGAGGAGAGGGGCCACTTGCCAGCTTCCGGGTCCTCTCCAGCACCAGGTCGATGAGCTCAGGCCCCACAGAGTAGTGCCCACGGGCGTAGTTGTTGGCTGCGTCCTCCTTCCCGCCGAGGAGCTGCTCGGAGTGGAAGAGGGAACGGTGCCTCCCGGTCCGGATCCCATCTGCAGAGGACGAGAGGAGGTCAGCACCCTCGGTCCGGTCCAGCTGCCCACCATGTGGGAGTTCCCCCCAGGACCCTCAACTCTGACCCCACACTTTCCCCCAACACGATGCCCAAGGGATGAAGTCGCACTGCTAACCTGGCCTGCCTGAGCCTGGAAAGGACGGACGCCTCACACCAAGCCAAAAGTGTGCTTTTCCACAGCCCTGCGTAGTTCCCTAGGGCTTCCAAATCAAGTGGCGACAAATGTGGGGGCCGAAAACATCAGAAACTTATTTCCTGACAGCTCGGGAGGCCAGAAGCCCAAAACCAAGGTGTTGGCAGAGTTGGTGGGTCCTTCTGGAGCTGCCTGGAGAAGGAGCGCCTACTCCATGTCACACTCTCAGCACCGCGTGATGGCTCACGGTCCTCGGTGCCCCTCAGTCCAATCTCTGCCTCTGGTGTGCAAGCCTCCCTATTCCCCCATGTGGGTCTGTGTGCTCTCTCTTCTGGGGTTCCAGGTGGGTGTGACTCTAGGAGGAGGCTCTTCCACCCCTCCATCCACCCCACGGCACTTTGAGACAAGCATTCCTGTCTATGGTAGCCAACTGTGTGCTGGAAAAGCACAGAAAGGCATTTGAACCTAAAATATTACTGGGCTGCTCTAAAAGGGGCTGTAAGGAAGAAGGCACGGCAAACTTAAGCGCCCATGCCACCCTCACACAGTGAGCAGAAATGAAGGAGCAGGGAAAAGGCTTGAGGAGGCTGCAGTGTTAAATTCACCCAGAGCCACCTGCTGCCTGGCTTCACTGCTGTTTAAAACCCAGGGCAGTGGCTTGGCGCCTATAGCTCAACCAGCTAAGGCGCCAGCCACGTACACCTAAGGTGGCGGGTTCAAATCCCCCGCCAAACAACAATGACAGCTGCAACCAAAAAATAGCCGGGTGTTGTG